GCAAGAATCAGAAATAGTTTTTCTTTTTCGTAAATCTTCTGCTTTAATTAAAATGAGATGTTTTGAGCCTTTTTGCACATTCTCAAGCACAAATCTAGACAACTTTTTAGCATTAATTTTCAAAAATATCGTTAAGCAACAAATTTTTCTTAGAAACTCATACCGGTGAAATTCCGGTTTCATCCGGCCCGGTTCTAGCTCTGATGCTGAGACATAATTCTGATTCTAATTCATCGAATATATTTCCGTAGCGGACCAAAAACGAACAAACATCTTGTCTAAAATTTTTTCAATCATTTGCTATATCGAATTTTATTTTAGTTATAATCATCGATCAATCACTGATGATGAATTGAAAAAGATCAACGATCGTATTGATGAAAAAATCTCTCGCCGTCATCGTCAACAACAACAGCAGCAACAGCAACAGCAAACAACTGGGTCGCCCTCAGTTGCTTCTCCTACAATTACATCTAATCCTTCTCCTTCTATCACTACTACAATGACAACACCTTTTAATAATGATGAATTTTCAATATTTCGTGATCGTCCTGTATCTCATCCTACTACAACTGTTTGTTTATTTACTATTGTTGTATTTTTGTTTTCTTGAGAAATTTCATTTCTTTTATTAGTCTCAACAACAACCAAGAACATTAGCCGAAGCACTTGGTATTAATATTTCATTTGCTTCTCAACCTATATTAAAACAACCGCCACCAAATGATTTGAGCAACTTTAAAGTAATATTAAATAGACAAAAAAAAAAACAACAGCATTAATTTTAAATAATTTTTTTTTTCAGTTTCCCGAAGCAACTAAAGGTCAAAATCTTCAACAAAATGTATCTTCTGATGATTTTCAACATAAACGTGATTCAAAAGTAATTTTCTTTTGTTCTATTATATTAATTCCATAGGATATCAATGAATATTAATAGTTATGCAATCGATATACAATAGCTTATGATTTGACACATAATCCTTCGATAGTCGAAAATCAAACAGAAGAATTACCAGATAGTTTTTTTGAATTAACACCCGATGATCTTCGATCAATTATAAATTCTTTAAGACAACAAAGGTAAAGAATTTTTTTTTATTTTCAAAAAAGAAACTTAAAATCACAAAAAATTTCATATTAGCGCTGAAGATATTCCATTGGAAACTCGTACAATGCGCGATAGAATTCAATCAGTACGTGCAACTACCTATGAATATATTGCAATACGATTAGTAATTAATTCCAATAATGTTCTTCAAGGATTATTCTATCCGGAAGAACCATTATCAAATCTTATTGAATTTGCACGTACAAATCTTATTTGTTCTCAAATAGAAAAATCCGATTTTTATTTATATACATCACCACCACGTGTTGTTTTATCTGATTTAAAGAAATCATTATCTGCTTATGATTTAGCACCAGCTTCATATGTTTATATTGGTCATCGAATAATATCACCACTTGTTATTCAACTTGCATCAAATATTTCAATAGGAAACATTAATGAAGCTAATCAAATTGTTAGAAAATATGTATTTAATCGTACAAGATCAATGAATGAAGATGAAAGTTATAATGAAACATTAACTACAGAAACTAATACTACCAATCGACCATCAAAAAGAAATCCAACTACACATAAGGTTGATGATAAACATCTACGAGATAAATTTCGTAAATTTTTACCTGGACAAAAATAAACATTTTGTAGTTTTTTTTTTCTTTTATATTTATTTTATTCTCGAATTAAAAAACATGATAAATGGATTATAAACTTAAGCATCTTTTGTTCTATATAAAAAAATTAATTCAAATAATAACTATAACATAGTCAGTATAAATGAATAAATTCTATATATAATATTTTCATTGTGTATTCTATTCTAATGTAGGAAAATATAACTGATCCGATAAATAAACATTCAAATAAAGGCGAATAGTACAGAAGGGTGTGGAAGAATACAGAAGGATGTCACGCCCTAACAGAATGTTAGAAGACAACAAAGGCCTTTCGACTCGTCATCTAAAAACAAATGTTGTCTGAATAAGAAATAGCAGCGTCAAAAAAAGGTCAAAATGTAAAACATGGTTAAAATATGTAAACAGAGAATAATATTTGTTGATTGATGTCATGAGAACATTATAACAAAGTAAATAACTTTAATGATACTTGCAGTTAATCAAGTCGAAACACGTGATAATGATTGATATACATATATAGAGAATATTATCACGTTCATAGAGAATGTAATATTTATTTGAAATGCTATTTCATCCATATTTTTGTCTTACATCACGTTAATTGATAACAATCAAAGTTGCACTGCTCTACTAAACCAAATAGTAGTTCATTATATGTATATATTTCTTTTTTATGTATTAAACATGGTTACTGTACTTTATAAGTGTATAGGTATTTTTCTAATTTACAAATTGTTGCTACTGTATTCTTGCTATAATTTTCTTGACGATTAATATATATCATTCTTGTCTTGTTTTAGATCATACTCAAAAAAAAAAAAAAGCATAAGTTTAATATTTCAAGGCAAACTTTATTTAACTGTACATTTCACAAAGATCGTTATATGTAAAGAAAAACATGCATAAGCCATTGATTGCAATTTTATTGTCTTTTACGATTAATAGAGAATACGTGATTTAGTATAACTTTGATGTTGTCTTGGATGAGCATTAGGATGTCGTCCAGTACAGACATTCGATGGTCGACAACGACAAATTGGACAAGCATTTTTATCGAGAATATTGCCACATGGACAATACATTGAACATGTTGGTGGACATCGTGTATGAATACTTCGTTTATATGGATGCGCTTCACTACCGATTGGCATTAAACAAAGACAAAGTCCAAACACGATGAAAACGAAGAATAAAAATACTTTAAAATGCATTTTATGTATAACAGTAGGCAGGTCGTACTGAAAAGATGTGCTGTTTATTGTTCTTAAGTACAACGGATATTTATACGTCTTAATAGAGAGGAAAGAAAGAATTCCCGCAACGCAATACAAATGACTCAAACCTTTTCTGTTTTCTTGTTAGTTTATTTACGTCAATCCTTTTTCTGTCTTCATTGTTCTGCTATCTGTTTATTTCATAACTCATCTTTTCTTCCGGTGTATGTACAGTTGTTAGGACAAGAAATAGATGTCACTAAACAACAGTATTCAAATTACGAATGTTCAACAAAATAAAAATAAAAATAAAACTTGATTGAGAAAGATATATTCAAAAAAAAATTGATAATATTCATAAGAAAAATAAAATTAATTATTTGAGGTTGTGGAGCTCAATGGGATTGATTGAAAAGTTAATAGTACTGAGTCATCGATAAATATTATTATTATCAATAATGTTTTGGGCACATCGATCTCTATGTTCTGTTCGATTAATCTCTAATAGCTTAATCCGATGTCTTCCTCGTATTGCTACATCTCATGAACATTCAGCAATCGAAAAAAGTTCTGATTATGCAGTAATTAATTCATCTCAACAGTCACAAACAATTATATTCAATGATTATAATGTTGTTAAGCCGACTTCGCCTAGAGTTCATTCAAGACCAGTTCCTAAATCCGTACCAAAATTAATTGATGTACAAACTGGTTTAAATCATTTTATAAATGAATGTGATGAACGAATGTTATTGATGACTGTTGAAAATAAATATAAATTATTTGATTGTAATAATGTAGCAACTTTTATTCAACGTCTTCATGAATTAAATCTAAAACGTGATTCTGATGAAAAACATCATCAACGACTTTATGATTTTGTTGATTATTTAAGTATGTAAAAAAGAATTCATTTTACTCTATATCGGCTTACATAGAAAATGTTTCGAATTTCAAACAACCTTCTCTATCATTCAGTTATTATTATTATATAATAGCAATAGCTTCTAGAACTTAATTTTCGATTTTTATTTTCATTAAAGAGGGTGTGGGTGTATGTGGATATTGAGATCTGTGAAAAGAATATCCATACCAATCGGCAGAGTTTATGCTTGAATTTTAGGATAGGTGCAAATCAAAAGGTCTGAAAATTTTGCACTAAACTATTCTCATTCAAGCCTATCTCTATGCAAATTTTCAAGTCGAGATGGAAAAATTAGTTTTTTTTTTTCGTAACCACGACATTCATGTCAAAAATACCATAAAAGTGCAGTACCTTCGCAGTAATAACTTAAGAGTCTAAACTCTTTTCAGGATATTCATAGCTTATTTGTGTCTACACAATGCATATAGTTTCGGTTTAAAACTGATTTATCACTTGAAGAATTTCGCTCGTTAGTCTTTTCGTGGGTATTTTATATTTAGCCAGTGAGAATATCAAATTACATTGACATACGTCGCCACGGTCGTCTAACTGGAAAGATACTGGACTGTTAATCCAGGGATCTCGGTTCGAGTTCGGGTCGTGAGCGCGGTCCTGTTCCTCAAGTTGGTTGCTTCGGCCACCCTGGCTGATCAATTAATGCGGGGGTACCATCTGACAAACGGGCATTCATGTTAAGAATCTCTCTCAAACACTCCAATTTTACGGGCGCATAAAACTTAAAAGGGGGGGGGGGGGGGGTCTCCGCTTCACGGGGGGGGGGTTCCGGGAGAGGATCAACCGGGGGGGGGGGGGGGGGGCTCGGTATGACGTTGGGGTCGGTAGCGAATAAGCATCCGCTGAGTAGGGTTAATAGGACTCAGCCCCATGCCTCATTTATACTCGGTATGGCCTAATGATCGGGCTTCTAGACTACGAAAGCCAGCACCCTGATGATGCTGGTTATTCGAACACTTGCAAAGAGTATGTTTTATATTCAATGCATTTCAAGTCTAGGTTGGTGTAAATCATACGTAGGTCTGGCTGGATGAAACCAGGCACTGTTCAAAGGCGGCCTAGTGATAGGTTAATTAATGCGAAGTGACATACGTCATGATAATCTCGTATATTCTATTCACTTTTTCACATTATAGTTCATAACAAATATTAAGATTTTGTATATATTTTGTTTTAAGTATTAAAACATGGACAACAATTAGATTTTGATCATGTTCTAAAAATGTATTTTCAATTAACATCATTAAATGGTAATGCTAAATTACATTCACATTCTGGGAATTATGCATTAAAAGGTCTTATTCAATTATTAAAACATTATGTTAATAAATATCATTTACAAGATACTGGTCGTATATTAATAACACTTGAAAAAGATCTTGGTTGTAATATACATGAAGATGAACGAATTCGACCATTATTTGATGCACTTTTACTTCTAACAAAATTTCGTCAAAGTGAACTTGATCGTTTAGATGCTCAAGCATTAGCTGAATTAGCTTATGTATTTGCATTGGAATTTGATCATGTATATTTTACGAATATTTTAAATGAATATATTCATGATGAATTACATCATAATAAATATTCTACTATGCTTATGTTTCGTGCATTAGATCGTCGTGGTTATAAACATAATCGAACATTAGATATTTGTCTTTATTTTGTAAATGAAAACAAAGAAATGTTTGTTGAAGAAATTGATGAAATTAAACATTATTTAAAAATACTTGAATATGAAATGACTGAAGATTAACTTGTTGATTTGTTGTTTTTAGTTTTAGATAAATTAATCAGGCAAAAATGTTATACATATTTTGATGAACAATGTGATATTTGATTTATTGATTGTACAGTTATTTGTTTATGAATAAATATATGAAAAAAGAAAAATAATTTTCTTTAGATAAATATTGCTTATTGTCATAATGATTAAAAGTCTTGATGAACATAATGAAAGATAATGTTAATTGTTATCGCCACTAAAATATAATAAACGCAAATGTTGTTTTTTAATATCTTCGAAACAATAAAAGCTAGAAACCAGACATGTTTTCATCATTCGAAAAAGGCATGTGGAGAAAGTGTAGCGATGTCAGAAATATTAGGTTTATAGATTTCTGAAAATTCATACTGAAGTCGAACATTTGTCTCGAAAAAACTTTCTATTGAATTTTGATTGATAATATGACTGTTCGATATATAAAATGTTCTCTTCCGACAAATGCAAGGCTGCCGTCTCTGGCCTGTTCCATTTAAGAATTCTCAGAAACACTCGATTCCGGACTACTGACTTTGGATTACATCGGTAACGTCAAGATTTGGGCAATTTACCTACCACATTGAATTCTTCAATGATGTTGTGTTTAAGTTTCAAAGCTCTCAAAAATGACTATATCCAGATTTTTCAAAAACTTGGCTATTGAAAATAAACATCACTACTGAACTAATATACTTCATCTGTATTTCTGTTTTTTTTCGACTACTGCAAACCACATGTTGCTGATTTTTATTATTCTAAAGATACTAAAGAAAAAAATACGTTCATTATATTTGATGACGATAATAGTTTTAAAAAATCAATTGAGTAGAATTACATTTTTTAAAAGGATCAACACGAGTCACATTTCTTCGTAAGTTGAGATAAAGTTTTACACAGAAGTTCTAATAAATAGTATCTAAGTATCTTAAACGATTACTTGATAAGTTAGTATTTGTAAAAAGAAATATTGATGATGAATCAAAAGAATTATTTTACTAGTTATGTACCTGTGGCATATATTTTAGATTATACATGATAAATATAAAGAATTGATTTAATTTTAGTTAGCGGCATTGATATATTTCCTTTTATTAAAGTTCACGTTAATACTTGAAAGGAATATTTTAAATAATATAGAATCCATCTTGTATGGTACCGATCGAAATAATTAAATTCTCTATTAAAGATAAAAAGAAATATTCAAGTTATTTCAAAATCAACGATTTCACTAGTCAATGCATTTTTCGACCGATGAAAGTGGATCTCTTGTAATAAAAATATCTATAATCATCAATGAACTGTTCGCTATTGTTCTGTAGTTCATACGATAGTTTTTCGCGTAGTATTACATTAACATTTGATCTTATGGATGATCTTGTTTCTTTATTTTGTATTCTTTCATTGGTGCAATCATATCCTTATCAGAGATTATGAACAGATCTAAGAGTGAGAAAAAATCAAGTTGTCATCTTTTGTTTTTCGAAATAGATTTGTTTGCATGTTCAATATTAATAGTAATAATTGACATTTTCCTCATACAGACAGATATTTATAATTCTTTTGTTCTTTGATCGAAACCATACTTTCATGGTCTTTGTTGATTACAAGAATAAGTTCGCCAAAGAAAATTAAATTAAAAAAAGCTCCATCATGGTAACAAAGAATTTACAAGTTTTTAAATATAACATAGGACGGTATTTGTACGAATCATTTTTCGATATGATATACCTTCATGTTGCCTTTATGGAATGCGATTTGTCAATCGATATAAAAAAGAAAGTACTATCGTAAATGCGTGAACAGCTTGAATAAGAATATCGATTATTTGTAATTTTGTATCAATGAATTCAAACGACTTCAGGGCTATTGTCAAGTTCTAAAATGAGGACAAAAACGAATAGTTTACCATAAACATCAATAATCGATATAAAGAGAAAGAATGTCTATTAAGCCGTGATTGGTACTACCATATAAATCGTATCAATCATTAATCATTAGTTTCCATTTAAGTGCATTTACCTCCTTTAATATATCGTCTAAACATTAGTAACTTAATTCTTGAAAAACTTGTTTTCTTTTAAATAAAACTATTGTCCATAAACATATATTTCATCTTGACATAAGAAAGTTGTTTTTTTTTTCTATTCGCCCACACAACATTAGATTGATGTGCTCATCGCATACAAAATGATTAGAAACAAAGATATTTCAAATGTGCTTGAATACGTAAAAGAAGAATAATGTTATATTGCTCATCTCGAAGAGAACTATGTAGAAAATAATTGAATAATCGTATAAAATAACTCTAGAGAAATAGAATTATTATTTAATATTCTATTGACAATACGAACAAATTATTTTCGGAAAAAGCGAAATGAAATTTATTTATTAACAAAAATATTCTTTTGTTTTTATTTAATAAAAAAAGAATTATTAAACATTAATCGATTATTTGCTAAATATAAAATACAACAATAAAAATAAAATAAAAATAAATCATACAACTGTTCTAGTTCTTGAACTAACATTAAATGATAGTCGATTAATAGATGATGCTTGACGATATTTTTTGAATAAACTTGCTGCACATGCAAGAGCACCACCTTGTAAAAAACGAATAAGTTTATCGCCAGCTAATGCACCTAGTGCATATATATTTTCAAAATCTATACATTCATATGTATATGGATTTATATTAATACCAGGACATTTTTTTGTTGTTAATGATCGAAGAAAAGGAATTTTTACTTCATTACCAGTAAGTCTAACAACACATGAGATATTATAATCTTTGATAATTTGTGTTCGAAGATTACGTATATTGACTGTACCATCTTCAGTTATTGAAATAACTTCACTTTGTGCACAACATTGATAAAACCAGTCTGATGACTAAAATATACAGAATATTAAATGATTAGTTTTTCAAAAACAGTTTCGTGAATTCTTTTAAGCCTACTGTAGATGTTGTTATTGTTGATGATTGTTTAATTAATTCTTTGATACGTTCAAATTCTGGATAGATATTAGCTGGTAATTGATTAAGTACAAGTTCATGATCATCAATAGCACGACGAAATACATGTAAAATAGGTATTGAATATTGTTGACATAGAAGAATAACATCTATAGCTGTTAAACCACATCCAATAACAAGTAATGGTTTACTATTTTTTCTTAATCGTTTTTTATTTACAATAATTTCTTCAATATCATGTAAATTTGTATAAGTAAATGATTGACTTACTTGTTCACCAATAATACCTAATGGTCTTGTTATTTCTTGTGAAATACCTGTTGCTAAAACAATATATTTAGCATGAATAATAAATAAATTTTTTGTTTGTTCTTCAAAACCACGTATTTCCCATAAGGCTTCGGGCGTACGAATTTCTTCAGTTAAATCATCATAATATGAAGAATCAATACAAACACGTTCAATAGATGTTACTTCACAGCCATTACGAAAATAATTTATTAAACGATTTCTTTTTACATAATGTATGTAATAAGAACGAATTTCGTCATATGTTGCTCGTTTTGAATTTTCATCATCTGTTATGATTTGTTCGTTATTTGTTGATAAACGGCATCGATGCATTCGAAGATGTTGTCGAAATGTAATAAAAGGATAATTAGGTAATTCCATCCAATCAGCCATACTTACTGTTTGTAAATGTTTAGATGTTAATTGATTCCAAATTCCACCTATTCCACCTCGTCCAAGACATATATGATCAATACTTGATGATGGATCATGACGCCATTTTATTTTTGATTGTAAACGTGCACCAAGATCAGCATCAGGATGAATTAAATTATCAATAAGTAAAGAAACAGGATTTCGTGAACGACCTTCAAGACCATTTGATAAAAATTCTAAATTCTAAAAGAATCAAAAAGAAAAATGATTCCAACATTATTTATCAATTGATGTAGAAGTAAACAACAAAAAGAGAACTCGATACAAACATAAATTGTTTTGATAATAAAACCTCATGAGAATAGTTAAACAAGTATTGTATTACGTGCATAGAATTCTTTTTTTTTATCTTCCAAGGAAAATTTTCGAAATATGTTTTCATCAAATTTAAGTGTAGTCATTCAAAAAAAAAATCAATATTCATTTTAATTACTCTGACCTGTTCAAGAAGTGAACTATTCTTAACATATTGTTCTAATTTCATATTAAGATAATCATTTGATACAGGACAACCATTCCAGTAAGGTATATGACCAGAAAGAATATATGAAAGTACAATAGCGGATGGACCATTCCCTGAAAGAATATCCAATTATTAATTTCATATGAACATTTAATAGATACATACCAATGACAACAACTTCTTTTCGTTCGCAACGACCTGGAAAACATTTTTCACTTGTATTGACGTCCATTAACTATAGATGTCGATTATCTGTAATAACAAAACAACAAAATATTTTGACTTTGCTTTATAGATGATTATAGTAGAACGAAAGACATAAATGAAAGAATATGCTTTGTTGTTCCTCAAACATATATATCTTCATTCTTTTATTCTTCTCTCTTATTTCTATCGTCCTTCATTTTGTATTAGCATTTGAGAAAAAATCGTTGCTTCCGTTCTTTTTCTTTTATAGAGAAAAAAAAAAGAAAAAACCGAGTTGTAATCTTATTTTTGTCTTTACAAACAATAATGTAAAGTTCAACTAATATTTATCAATTCCAAACAAGAAAAAAAAGAAGAAATTGTTACATTGTATGTTATCTAAATACAACGAGAAGAAGTAATTGATTAATTACAGGTCATTAAATGAAAACAAAATATTTCTTTTCTTTTTCTATCTAATTAACAAACTTCCGCTTGTATCGGCCAATATATAAAATAGATTATATTTCAAATTAATAATAAAACACGAAGATGTTAACTATCATTGCCGGATTTATGAATCCCTGGTGTCTATTATTATTCTCTTTTTTTTTATAGAATGACAATATTAATTATTTATTGACTACCTACTTTTTTGCTTTGAAATAAAAATATAGAAAAAAAGAATATAAGAAACAAGAAGAAAAGTATACACAGATTGTCATTCAAACTCGAGAAGCAATATATTATTAAGTTGCTCTCTGCTATTTGACAGTAACAAAAACAACGATTATTGATGAATGATTTATTTGTACAATGAGTATTTCATGGCACTAATAGAAAACTTTCCTTTTCGGAACAATGATTTACATATATATTTGTTTACTTTTGCATCAATAATGAACTCTTTCCATCCGTAAATTTTGCAAAAAAGAAAACAGATCAACGAGTAGACAACAACTATAGTTGCACTTATAAATGCCCTTGAGTACGGTTACAAGCCGTTAATAGATTTTCTTTATATAACGTCGTCATTTACATTTTATCCTCATACTTTAAAACAGACAGGTAAGAAGTTGTTGTCAAACTTCACTATTTAATCCAATTGTTATTTGTAAGAAAACAATTTGATCTTTTATCATAATACAACTAAACCTATAATAAATATTTTCAAAATCTTCACACGTTTTATTCGACTGGATTTTAAAAGAAAAAAAAAAAGTGGTCAGGAAAAACTTTAATAATTTTTGCAAATATCCACAAATAAAGGAAAAGGAAGAAAATGAATTATTTACAAAACTAAGAACAAATTTAAATATGTAATCAATGTGCACACACACATAAAGTAGAAATACTGTTGTCATTTTGATCACCGCAAATATACGGACAATATACAAATAATTAGATAATATTTATTTCACTTTGTTTTTACATTATTACAAGCAGCAGCAGCAGCAGCAGCTAATAATAAATCATCATCTTCATCATTCATTTTAATTTGAACATTTTTATCTGTAGATGGATAGAGATTATCAAGTTCAATTGATGTTTGATTAATATTATTATTATTTATAGTTTCTTCTTCAGCTAATTTTTGTAAAGAATCCAATGAAAATGGTGAAATTTCAACTGATAAATTTGTTTTATCATCATCCGATGATGTTGATGAATTCGTTGAATTGCTATCAGTAGATTTCTTATTATGACGGGTAGTATCAACTAGTTGAGAAAGAAAAAAATTGTTTAATTTTTATTCTTATAAAGTTTTATTTGTACCTGTTCGATTTGAATATTGAGGTTTTGGTGGATCTGGTTTAAGATCAATATGAAATTGATCTCCATCATGAATGTTATAACTAAATAATTAAAAAAAAATTGAAAATCATTCAATTTTCCAAATTTTTCTAATCTAAATATAGTCATTTTCTATAGGTTATTCGGTAGTGAACAAAATAATTATTCATTCAATGATTCATTCATAAGATTAATGATAAGAATTGAATTAAATTTCATGGTATCGCGTTACTAAAGATTAAACGTAGAGAAGTTACTATTTTATCAATTGATATATGATGTTATTTTAACGTTCGACAATAAGCAATTATATAGAAACAAAAACAAAAAATAAATCTTATTAAAAAGAAAAACACGTTGCTAAATGCTATTTTTCAGGCGATATTGATGGTCGCAATGGTTAAAAGTAGCTCCGCTGTTTCACTTGCAAAACGTCTAATAGTGTTTAAATGTTCTTTTTTTCTAAATATCCTCTCGGGTACTTAGTTGGTTTTTTATTTCTGTTTATCTCCTTCTATTCACATAAAGAAGATCAAAATACTCAACGTACCTCGAAAAATACATGCTGCTTTTTGAGCTGGAACTTTTTATCTCAGCCCTAGTAAAAGCCAACAATAGATTATATTTTGAAGACAAAAAAAAAATAGGCATTCTAAAAATTTTCTGGTATCAGTAGGAGAAAGCTTTAACACTGTAGTTGAGAAATGAAGACGTTTCTTAATTTTTTTCTTGTCAAAAAAATCCAACAAAATAATTTATAAATTTAAATGTTTTTCAACGAAATATATTTCATCTTTTTCTGGCTTTTATATTAAATTTTCTTCGTAAAGTCAATAGATTACGAAAACTTCAAATATATAATTATTTCGCAAAAAGAAAATTGAATGATCGAATTATGATAAAAAAGTTTTTCTTCGATAAGATCATATTCAGAAAATATCGGAGAAAACGAACATGTTCTCTTCAGAAAGTCAATGTGCTATCGATCTTGTGAATTTAATATCCTGAAATAGAAGTATTGATATTGTTAAATTTTATCTTACTAAAATGAATATAAATCTCAAAGAATTAAGATTTAGCATTTTCTAAAACGAAAGAGTAACTAATAAAAATCAATTCTATAATTACTGTTGAAAATATATTTGAGTCTCAGTTAGAAACATTCAATGAACCAAGATATTGATCTTTTCTGTTGCTCTAGATTTTTTTCAATTTCTTACTAAATATTGATTACGCTTAACATCTCAAATTCGACAAAAGAAAATAAATCATCTATTTACTAATACATACGTGTGTAATAATCTTTGTGGATATTTGAGTTCTTCCGGTCCACAAACACCCATATTAAAAGCAACATCATCCACATAAAAAACTCGTAAACGTGTTAATGGTATTTTAAAAGTTTCATGAAGATATTTTTTAAATTGTTGTACAGTTTGTCGTACATCAATTTCTTTATCATGAGTTATTTGATTATAAACAAGTCGAACATTAATTAAATAGGGTGCACGAATTTTAATATCAACTAATGGTTTAAGATTACCATGTTTTTCAGTTAATTCATAATATCTACAAAAAAAAGAAAAAGAAGTTCTTCATACAAAAAACTTCAATCTTAGATTTTTACCGTTGTGGTTTATCATCACGTTGTGAATAATAACGAATAAATCTTCGTTCACTTGTTTCTCTTTCATTTGCTGTTATAACACTTCCATTTAATTTAGTTATATTTTTCATATAACCAAGTAATAGAAAAAATCGTTCATCTTTTTGATAAGGCTTTAAAAAAAAATAATATTTTTTTTTCTTTTAAATTCAAAAACAAAAAAGAATCATACCTTAAGCAGTGGTGTTAACTGAATACGTACAGCATTTAAACGAGGTAATTTTGTTAATGCAACAATATCATCCCATTCAGATATTTCAACCTTATCAACACTAAGTGTATGTAAATGTGAGAAACATATATTAACATCTTCATCCGAACGAAAACTTTCTAAAGGATTATCACTTGCTATTAGAGTTTCTAAACGTGAAAATAAACGACCAAGACGACATATTGATTGCCATTCGGTTATGTTATTATTTGATATATAAAGACGTTTAAGACTTTCATGTTGAAAACCATAATCAGATGAAATTTTTGTATAATCATTTGAACATATTTGAAGTTCTTCCAAACTAAAAAAAAAAGATTGAATTTAATCAACAACAAAAATAGATTTCATGAAGTCAGAATGATAGTAGAATTTAAATACTTTCATATTATTCTCGTCAAGACTATGATCAACACTTTTTTTTTTTTTTTTATCGGAAATGATACATTTTATAGTCGTGTAAAATGAGCATCGAATCTCGTACTGTTAAAACTCATGTGTTCTAAATAGATTCTGGTTTTAGGGCCAGGATCTAAAATGGATGGCCTTACTCATATCTAATTAGAATATTTGATAATAAATTAATATTCTCCTTATAATAAAGGATAACCAAAAAAACAATTTATGCTCCTACGCAAAATAATTTCTTCATTAATAAGATTTAACTATTGAGTCAAATTTTTTGTCATAGATATAGCTAAAAAAAAGGCGCTACTAAAATAGAACCATTTGAATTTTGAACGTATTATATCGTAAGCAAAGGCAAAGAAGCAATTCGTTTCGGAATGAGATCATATTTTCTAGATTTTGATTTTTGATAGAAACAGAATAATTCAATAAGGAAACATGATAATGACTAGATTTGGGAAACATAGTGCGTCATGATCGGGATCAAAAGCTATTAGTACCTTCATGTCTAGTTGTGTGACCTGAGAATTTTGGACTATGTTTCTAGATGTTCAAAGTTTAAGTATACGTATAAATCATTCTGAATTATTGTTAAACTTCTACTATTATTAAAATATCCGTACAAGTAACAATATTCCATTTTTAGAATTCGTTTTCGCTACGATCAATTAAATGTTGCAGACGGAGCGTTTCAATAGCTACAAAAAAAAAATGTCTAAACTTTGGTTTCATAATAAGAAATAAAATACAACATAATAAAGAAAGATACAACAGTAATTAGCATCAAAAGTTTTTTTTTCCATGGTAAGTGTACCAGTACCCAAGCAGACAAACTTTTGAGAAAACGCGTTTAAACGCACAGAAATTGGCCTAAAATCAGCAAAAAGTGGACGTTTTCGGATCACACTTGAGGTTCCCGACTGTGAGCCAAAAACGCCCATTTTTCGCCCTTTTTGTGCGTTTAAACGCGTTTTCAGACAAAANAGGTTACTCCACAATTAGGGGTGGGAAGTTACCGTTCCCGGGGATGGTAACGGTAACGGAAAAGTTCCCAGTTCCCAGGTAATTGATAACTTTTCCGTTACCAGTTACTTTTTCAGGATAACTCCTTAAAACGACGAATTATGACTTCGTATGATCGAATTTCGTCAATAGATTAATTTTTGAGTTTCGGAGTTACCCGGCAACTGGTAACGGAAACCAGTTACGAGTTACCGGAGAACTCCAAAATTCAAAACTTCCACGGACGATGATTTCTGAAGCGGTATTCCGTGAATTTCCGTCGAAAACCAGCAGAAAACTCGCTGTTTCCTGCCGGAAACCACCGGCAAGTGCCAGGAATGCAGCGCAGGAATCGCAGTGTGGGTGTGGGTGTGGGTGTGGGTGTGGGTGTGTGTGGGTGTGGGTATGGGTGTGTGGGTGTGTGGGTGTGAGTATGGGTGATGGGAACATATTCACACCCACATCCACCCATACCCACACCCACATCCACATCCACACCCACACCCACACCCTTGATCAAATGTGGCATCTTTAGTTTACATTGTACATTGTTGAACAGTATGCATTATATGTCGGTTTTTTTCTTTTTCTCATGGGTATTTTGGGAAACTTCATGATTCTATCAATATTTTCAATGGATCGTCAATATCGTACAACACCTGGCACATTTTATTTTCTGATTGGTTCTGTACACGATATGCTTGTCATTCTAATTGTTCTCGGTTCACGTTTAATGACTTTTGGTTTCAATATTGATTTAAATCGAATTTCAGTCGTATGGTGTAAGACTCGATACTATTTTTTCTGTACCTGGGCTGGCATCTTATTAACTTGTCAATGCTTAGCAACGCTCGACCAATATCTTATCACATCAACAAATGCTCGTCTTCGTCGAACGAGCTCTATAAGAAGTGCTCATCGAATTGTTGTAATAATATATAATTATTATCTGGTGGATTCATGGCATACCATGGTTAATCTATCAAGACATATCACCAGTCAGTGGCACATGCATATATATCAATACGACTTTTCATCGTTATGTCGTTTTTTTTGGTTTGGTTAGTCTTTGCTTGCTGCCGAGCATATTTCCGACCATATTTGGCTTTCTGGCATATAGAAATATATCACAAACGGTGACTCTGAGTAAACAAAACAAGCATCATCAACTGACCGTCTTGGTTTGTTGGCAAATCTTTCCAGTCGTTTTGAGTGGAATATTTAATGGTGGCTGGAATATCTACACACTTGCCACTTATTAAATATTAAAGAGTCCGGATTGATTGCGTAAAGAAGTTGTATTTCAATCACTAATCGCTCTCTTGGCATATTTGGGAAGTTCTGTAAGTATTATATACATATATATATACATTTATAAAGTAAAACAAAAATTATATAATCGATCTTTTGTATTTAAATAGACAAGATTCTATCTATTTTTGATTGCTTCGAGTCGTTTTCGTCAAATAACTAAACAATGGATCTGCTGTTGGCAATCAGATCATCAGATTATTTCCAGTGTTAACATAGTTGTGGTAACACATAATCGACAGAATGACTCACTACATTAAATTGCTTAAAAATTGAATGTATATTAGCTTATTTTTCATAATAAAAAAAACTTCTTTTAGTCTCTATTTCAATTTAGAACAACTCTTTCGAACATTATCACTAGCATGATCGTCGTGATTCATTATTGAGACTTGCTGTCATTGTTAATATGTTGAGATATAACAAAAAGTAGCAATATATTCTGGCATGCATTAACAGAACGAAAAGTGTTAAAAGTCAAAAGAAGATGTATTGCATATAGCAGATCAGAAAATGAAAAATATCCACAAAATGCTGTATTAATACATATATTTAATAATGATATGGTTTCACACAGACTATTTTAATCTTTTGCATGATAAATAATAAATATATGTATGGCTTTCTTTGATAAGTTTGATACCAAGTAGAGGACTCACTTCAACAGCAAGCGAATGTAACAGATAAAACGATGAGAAATTCGAAGAGTATCAGAAATCAGTTATCGAAGGTGACATAATTAATGTAACATGTAGTATTTTGTAAATATTTTAGCATAGATCAATCGTATAATCTTGATCTTTTTGAAGATCTATTGACAATATTTCAGATAGAAGAATCTAATGAACTCAAGTCTGATACGCTATAAGACCACAGATCTTTAGATATAAACTAATTGAAACAGGGTGTAACAAAATTAAACGCCGCTCAGATTTACCTACAAAAATGTTTATTTTATCTAAGCAACGAATGAAATTGATCTACAACTGGCATGTGTCTTTGAGGCCTTACAAGTACTATCTTATACTCAGCCAACTACCTTTCTTTTCCTGCTATTTGAAGAAAAAAAAGTAGAAAATTTCAAAAAATGACTGTAAACTAATCATAGGCCTCTCTTTAAAAAACTATATTTTCTTGTATCTTAAACCGTCTTAAACCTTCGCGTTTCACTTTTTATTACGAAACCAACCGGCGTATATCTGTTTCATTCTATTTCAGACTTTGATTGAGGATGTGGGTGGGGTGTGGCCACGGTGAGTATCAGTGTGGGATGTACGTGTACGCTTCCAACTGAAGAGGATTAACAAATCCACATCCATATCGATAAAAAACAAATGTTATGTGGTGTGAGGAAACATCGGTTACTTCGATCTTCTCCGGTAGAGATAATCATCATCTAAGGAACTCAGCAATTGTTCACTAGTGGTCTTTGGATTCTTTTTTTCACATAATGAGAAGGGTGTGGGTGTTGATGTTCACTTTAACAACAGATTCGTGTGCCTACAATTGTAACAATCAAAAGGTTGAATGTATCATATAGAATGATATCGATAGTTCTAGTTCCATACGATAGTAATAGAAGGAGTTTTCGAAAGATATTTTAAACATGACTGCGGTAGCAACAAATCTTTTTCAAGTTTATATGACTTACTGTGTAATCATATGGAATTTAACATTCTTTCATTCCATTGAAATTTAATCAATGTTCATTTTCATATATAATTCACAATCAAAGCTATATTCTTAATAAAGTTTTCTTGCAATTAAAAATCTTAAATTAAGATGTTTGGCTTTCTGCTTTCTTTTTTCAAATTTATCACGTGTATACATTCGTATTTATCAGTTTGAACTTAAAGAATTGATGATGCTTACATTTTGTAAAGAGTCCATTGAATCAGTCTAAAATCTTCGTATGTCTTTCAAGATAAGATATCTTTTGTATTTCATTCTCTTCGTTTTTATAATAACGACAATGACAAAATGTAATTTCACAAACATTTGAATTTTTTGTTTCTTTTAAGGTATAACAACGTCTTCTATTCGTTCCAAGTTATTGTATTGATTTGACGATGAACGAAAGAAAAAGGCAACGAAACTCTTCAACAGATGATTGTCCCACAAAAAAGTTACAATGTACTTCGTCTTGTTTAGTAACATCGAACAATACAGACAAGTGAGTAAAAGGGGTGTAGGTGTGGGTGAGTGTGGGTGTGGGTGGGTATGGGGTGTGGGTGGGTGTGGGGTGTGGGTGGGTGAGGGTTCTCCTTATATTTTCCTACACCCGCACACCCACACCCACACTCACACCCACACCCACACCCACACCCACACCCACACCCACACCCACACCCCACACACCCACACTCATACCCCACACCCACACCCTGATTGTTTTTGTCTGAAATTCTATATGTATTTACGTTGATTGAAAATATCATCAGAAACCTAAATGAATGATTGAATCTTTCTTTGCAAAATACGAAATATATATAGTCACTCAGTTGTTATTTCCTCTAGCATCAGAATTGTGGAAACCATCGCCATCACTATCTAAAATATATTGAAAAATAATACAGAATTAAAGAATGTATCAAATTAAATAAATCATACCGCCAAATTTTCTCGCTTCAGGACACGCACGATAAGAATGACCAGGTTTATGACTTTAAAAAAAAACAATACTTCAATAAATCCGAATTTTATTACTTACAAATAAAACCTACCAGGTGAAACATCCTAAACAATAAACCAATGACACGAATATATATATTATTAAAATAGCTTGAATATACTTACTTCTGTTACCCCTTCCGCGACCAGCATCAGAATTGTCTAGCAGATAAATAAAATGCATAGTTTTTGTTCTACTGATTTAGATGTATCTTACCAAGAACACCTGGTCTGTTTGGTTCTTTATATATAACTCCACGGCCTTTATATGAAAATTTTTTTCCTAGTAGAAATGTAGATTATGATTTACCTCGATTCATGCGGCCACTCGTATTGAAAGCAGCACGAGCCGATGAGTTACGAAACGTTGTACTTCTACCAGACTCGTCAGAATCATTAATATTACTGTTTTGACTTGTCACATCACCTTTCGAACTACTTAAACTTGCGTTCTGATTGGAGTCATTATCCTCATTTTGATCTTTCCGACTGATTGGCTTATCAATTATCGATGACTTGCTATCATTTGGTGACAACATCGAATCAGCAGTGCAATCGACAACGTTTAAATTAAACTCACTGCAAATGTTGCTATTCTCTGAAAGAAGTTTATGATCGCCAGAATTAAATCCATCAGAACTGTTATTTTTATCTCGTGTATCTTAAAAATAAACGAAAGTGCAGTTCTCATATTTAGTTAGTTTTATCTTACGACGAGCAACTCGATTGTTTCGCCGTCTACGTACGACTTGACCATCTGTAATAAACGATTCATTTTTCTAGGTAGATCATAACGATTTTTTTGTTTACCTTGAGGCATTCTATAACTTGTGTTAATACCAGTAGAGATTGTTGAGTTCAGCACGGTACTGCTTGTTATAGATCCATAAGAATCATTGTTCTCAGTTGTTTTACTTTCCACATCGTTCCTGAAAACTCTGTCACTTGCTCTTGTGTCCTTGTTATCATCATTTGCATGTTGATTTGTTGGGTCACGAAATCTTACAGATATTGACGCAGTATCGTCATTATTTGACGACAACAATTCAATACCATGATTCTCAACATTTGAACTTAAAGTAACCTGGCTTTCGTTATCAACTCCATCAGGTTCATCTCTTAGATTAGAAAATTCTTGATGTGTTTGATCAGCCTTGCTACTAGTGTCATGTTCTTTAAAACAGAGCAAAACTATTTCATTCAATATGTCATATTCAAATATTTAGGCATCTAAACTATACATATTAAAAAATGATTGTCTTCACCGCATCAAACTACATAACTATCATTGTGTCGCCTCAGAAGAAATAGAAAATTTTATTTGGTCCTTATAAATCACAAAACTACAGTAATAGAAACTCCAATTGATGACACTTTGCAACTGAAGTGTGCATCAACATACCTATTACTGTTTTCTTAATGATTGCTATTACGGAACGAAAATTGAAATTGCTTTTGTATCCTTACTAACAGAATCACATGGATAGGGATGCGAGTATACTCTTGGATGCGTGCCATACTGACACTGGCGAAGCATGAAGGTTGGAAGAAGTCCTTGACAAATCGATTTGATTACCATTGATACAATAAGGAAGAAAGCTATGAATTGACGAGATATCAATGGTATAGATGAATGTTTCTTGAAAAGAGTAAATTAAGACTTTGGTGAACAAATGGTGTACATAATTCAACCTGTGCGATTGAATAGATATCATGCAAATTTTCTGTTCGTGTCAAGTCAAAGTCATCAAAATAACTCTATAGGGACTTACTCAGACCTAGAGAGATATCTGTTGATGTTTGATGATCTTAATGAAAGTAGATTTAAGAAGAAACAAATTTTCTAATAGTTTTTAAGCGTTAGAGTTACTCATTTGTAGAAAAACTAACTTCATACAAATTTTCCTTGTAAGGAAAATCGCCCAATCAAATTAGATTTCAGTCATTCGGACTATGAACAGCTAGTCGCTCCAGACTTTTGCCAGTAAACAGATATGTGAATAAGTACAAGTAGTAGAGAATATTCGAAACATATTTCATTTGAACTCAATCGATGATAATAGTTAGTGTTTATATGTAAAACAATGTTTCACAAATCTAATATATGAGTATTTTGATCTGATACCTGTACAATACAGATAGCAATAAATGCTCTTTCAGTTCTACAAATGTTTATAATTCTCTAGACTTATACTATTGACAACGAGTTATTTTCTAGCAGGTAAGGACATAAATAAGTAAGCTTGGATCAAAGTAATAAATTTAATAAAATTTACTTATCAAAATAATTTTATAAAGAAGAATTCGAATGAAATTATCGTAACGTTAACACATGATTTCTCTGAAAAAAAAGTATTACTGATACTATATGATTTTGTAATATTGATGGATAAAACCTCAGTATTTCTCTATTGTGAGTTTTTAGTCAAGTCTCCTGAGAAAATTTTTGTGTCTTTGTAGCAAAACTAATTTACCGATGTATATGTCATTACGACACTTACCAAAAGATACAGAATCAGAATCAATAGGAGCTGAAGTGTTTGGAGATTGATTAAAGTCTTCTGTTAACTTAACTTGATTTTTGTTTAAATTTGTTTGATATAATTTCTTTTCTTGATGAGTTTCGGGCGAAACAACAACTGAAAATTTTTCAATAAACAGTGTGTTCTCTTTTTGAATTCTTACATTTGGTAATTCGCTAAGTTCTCCGGTTAGTTTCGTTAATTGTGTTTTGATTCGATCTATATTGATTTCATTAAATTCATTTTCTTGTTGAATTTTCTTTAATTCTTCAGTTAGTTGAGATAATCTATCTTCCATTTCAGTAAAATGCCGCATATGCTGTTTAGTCAATATTTGTCTACATTCTTCTGCTGTTTGGCTAATTTTCTGAATCGACTCTTGCTCCCAAAGGTTCACTTCCCGTATAAATGGGGGTTTTCTTGACTCTTTCTTTTGTTCAACAAGTTGTCGATGAAATTTATCGCAATCCTTTTTAATGTCACTGCATTGCTGTCTGAGTGTTTGACGATGTTCTTCTAAATGATTGTAACAAAAATCTTTAGAACAGCCTCCACAGTTGTACACGACTGTTCCTTTATTACAAATAGAGCATTGTGATCCAGCACTTGCCTTTGGCGGTGCCTGTCCCATATATTGAATTTTGTGATAATGAAGATATCAAGGAGAAACTGAAATTAGTGAATATAAGGTATGAATATATATATATAAACAAAAAAAATAAACCAATGAGAGATTTCTTTCTTATTAAATATTAAAGACTAAACATTTTCTCTTCTCTCCATTTTCTTACAGATCATATTTTTATATGACAAAAAAAAGAAACACTTATCTATTGACGATATAGGTCAAACCATCATAATCAATAAAAAACAAATAATATTCAAAACCTAATCTCAGAAAGCTATGCTTCTAGTGATTCAAAAAGTAGCCGAAGTCTAGCACATTTTCTCGTAATAGAAGTGTCTAAATCATACTGAAGAGAATAGCTAACAATGCATAACCGTATCATATTACAGAAAGATACAACTCATCTTGGAAAATCACTAAAAGTATTGTGAATGACATAGTAACTTGACTTAGCTACAGAATAATATACTGAATTATATCTAGAATCGTCAATCAATACAATATTTATAAATTCATGAATGTGAAAACAATAGCTGAACAGTTGCACGATTACAGCCAAAAACTAGCACTTGACAATGATAGAAGAATGATGGAGAAATCTGAGCATGATAGAGAAGAATACCTTCTATTGTATTGATGGAGAATAACTGAATCTGTTTTACAAAAGATTTATCATTTGATTATTTACAAAAACATACATAGATGTGTCTCCTAAAAACGTAAGCCAGCATTCTTAATTGCTATCGTAATACTGCAGATATATACAACGCTGAACTATCTCCCCGCAAAAAATACAAGTGGTATTTACTTAAATTTCTATGGAGTCAATTTTCGTTTTATTCAAAATTAATCATCTTCCATTCGTTACTTTTAAAAATTTATTGTTGCAATGCACCCTTCTTCCAAAATTGAGTGTATAGGTAAGAACCCGGACAAGGATAAAAGTGGTAAAATTTCATTAAAATACCTATGCATAATCATTATTGTAATGATGTAAAAAGTCACAAAAAACATACTTTTCATCTGAGGCATTAAAATATTCGTCATGTAACACATCGAAACGGTTATTTTTAACTAGCGATCGAGTAGTTGTTTCTATTCTTAGTTAATTAGGTTAGATATATTTCAACCAAATTACAACTTTCATCATTAAAATAAGAAATTAAAAATATAGGTCTCTGTTTCCATACCTAGACCAAGATGCTCGAACTTTAGGATTTTTACATAATATGTTTAAATACTCACTAATCAAAACTTGAACAGAATCTTTTTCTATTTTCTTCATAGTTGAATAGAGCTCGTCAACTTATGTAAGACAAAGTATGTATCAGATTCAAAACCCAAAATATTTTATGAAGAAGTCCTAGATAACATTATTTTCAAATATATTAAGAAATAGGCCCAGAATTTTAATTTTCGCAATCGTTTTGGATTTGAAAGATTGTTTTTTCTCATCGAACTCGATGAGTTTGATCCAATCATGATGAAGAAAGAGAAAAATTTGTAACGTTTTGATCTGTAAGTATTTTAGATATGGTGTAAAAATCCTAAGATTCGAGTATTGTGGTTTAATGTTGAGAGCTGTCATTCGGGCCCAAATAAATCTAACTTTGTTCACTAGCAATACGAACATTTCCATCATAAGCATTCTAAATGTTCAGCTCATTTTTTGACTTGTTCTTTTCTTTGCACAATGCGAACAATTTGAAAAAAAATTGAATTTGTTTTCATTTGATTCAGAGAATCATGGAAGAATAAATAGAGCGCACTAAAAAAATAAATAAACAATTTATTCGAAAGAAAATTTGTCAAACATCTAAATTGCTGAAAAACTAAAGAATCAATATTTTTTTATTTTACTTTTTCATTTATAGTTTAACATGTTCTGAGTTATTTTAAGGCAAGATATGGACTACATTTCGCTAATAGATTATCTCTGTTTTCAATGAATTGAGTATTTTCTCTTGTTTCTTATCGATCGCTGTTCTTTTTCTTTTTTTTTTAAGATTAAAGATAAAAAAAGACGATTCTGAATAAAAGCTAAGGAAATCGTATCTTATTCGTAGGAAAAGTGTAAACAACAAAAGATCTTGATTATTCGTTCATTAANTGCAGATAGTTAAATTGAAATTATTTTTTTCATGTATGTATGTGTGTGCACGGTGACGATTATTTTTTTCTCATTGTGTAATTCGACTTACTCTTTTCCTGTCCAGTTAATGGTTCCGGTTTTTCTTTTGATGGAATCAAATAATAAATATATAGACAAGAGTATTTCGATCAACAAATGAATTACTTTAGAAAAACTCACTCAAGTCAACAATGAAAAGAGTTAACTGCTTGATTTTGAATTAAGATGATAGTATTGATTCTAAATGTTCGATGACAAATATCAAGAATAAAGTTTAAGAATTAGAATCAATTAACAAGATTTGTTGATAAACATAGAAATTATTTTGCAGCTGCAATTGATTGACTAGTACGATATGGTCAAATCTATAACTATTAGAAATGTTCCCTATTCTCGAATGGGAGTGTTAGTCGGTACAATGCAAATTTCTTTTTTAAACTTTCTCTCCAGCTTCCACGCCCAGAATTTAGACATGAGGATTAGACACAAGAATGGAAATATCAGGGCAGAGGCATTAGATTTAGGAGTGTATGAAATGACGTATGAATGAAGATATAGGATTATGCGTACGAGGTTATATATATATATATATACTGTGCAGATAAGAATAAAGATGTATGGGAAGGTATAGTTATGATTAGGGATAGGAACATAGGCCATTTCAGTTGCAAAAGTTTTCGCAAAATTGTTCTTTCGTTGTTCGGATGTCTTTAAATGTTCTTAGTTAGAATCAGAACTGTGAACTCTTTTCGAATATGTGTTGAGAAGTTTTTTTTGATACAAGATCAGACTAACTGTGAGCTCATGATTGAAAGGACACTAAGTATAGTTAATATAAATACACAAAATGTGCTAGTTAGGTTTTTTCTATTGCATTTTAAAGTTTATGTCTAAAATTAGTTTTATGAAAATGCAACTAATTGTAATCTTTTTTGGCGTTTATTTTGTAAGAAATTGACATTGAGCCGAAAGCCGACTGATTTCGAAGCAATCCTGTTTCAGATTCGGGAAGACTGGACAAGATTTTATGGTCGAGATTTTTCTTCTGACTTCCTCATCAGCGTGTAGGAAACAAATCTGAATAGTTGTGCTCGTGACAAACACATCTAAACTTTACTCAGTGGTGTACTTTATATGAGTAGGCGCTATACATCAGACATAATATCTTTCCTGACGAGCCGTGATTGTTATCATGCGCTGTCTTATTAGTTTATTGAAAACTAGGAATTATTTTGTTGTTTTCTTCTGTCAAGTCCTTCTCTAGATGATTATGGCTTGGTTGTCGAATATTATAGTAATTTTAGTAGTAATCTGTCAGAGAAGTCATACATTAGAACCATTCGATCCATACAAACACGATGGTTCTTGTACGGCATCGATGTCGATCTGTTTCTTCGAACTGCATGCTACTGGTACTATGACCATGTTCTATAAAAATCTCTTTCGAGTCGTTGCCACTGATAATGGCACATTACATCATTATGAAGATTCTAGTCGAACATTTTCCATGAGTGAGATTATAACGGCTGATGGTTATCCAAAGCTTGTATGTTAGTTGAATTTCGTTTTTGCCACGCTATACTTGGCATGGTTTTCGCTCGTTTACCTAGGTGTATGTTTTCAATGATTCTCTATCGGGTCCTGTTCTACATGTGTATCAGAATCAAATAGTGCGTATACGTATCTACAATGATTTTCCAACAGAATCACTTAGCGTTCATTTTCACGGTATTCGACAAGTGAATACACCAGAACAGTGGTGGATCTAGGATTTTGCCAGAGTGAGGGGAGCTACTTTTTTTTGAAGCAGTAAGAAGTATAGGTCAGCGCGAATAGAATTATCTTTGTGAGACTTCTATGTTGGTTAGAGAAATGTTAAATTACGTTGTAAGTTTTACGTGGCGTAATCGCTTTGAAACTTCAATCTCAGAAAGCACCGAACGGCTAGATCCGCCACTGCACCAGAGAGTGACGGAGTTGGACGAGTCACTCAGCTATCTATCTTACCGGGTTCTAGCTTCCAACATGAGTTTGTTACACTGGATACTAGCACTTTCTTGTATCATTCACACTCTCAATCTCAAATAGCTATGGGGTTATTAGGTGGTTTTGTTGTGCATCCACGAGAAGTGACCAATCGAGAAGAACAGAGTGAATTCGTAATAGTTCTCACTGATTAGCAACACTTTTACATCACTAAACAGCATCACTTACTCATCGAGAGTGGTCAATTATATTCGAATAGTTTGGAATCGTTGAAAACATGGGTACCATTGATTTTTATGCAGCTGTGATGGATCACGAGCAGCTGAAGCACTTGCTTCTTCGATTCTCATCAATGGATGTGGTCAATATTTTGATCCGCGTGCAGAAATTGACAGTTCGAGCACGACACCATTAGAATATCTGAGAGTAGTTTTGGCATCCAACAACGCTGTTTACCGTCTACGTCTGATCAACGGTGGTAGGGTATTCCCACTAAAATTCTCTATCGGTGATCATCCTTTGAAAGTGATCGCGTCGGATGGCATACCACTTGCAGAATCGATGATAGTTGATCAAGTGACTATTGGTCTTGGAGAACGATACGATGTTTTAATTAAGCTGCAAAGAAGAGAGCAATTAATTACTGGATTCGAGTTGATACAATGAACAAAAATAATAATCCACGATAAGTGGCATTGATGTTTCGACAACGAGTTTTAAGAGAAGACACTTTGCAACAAAATGAGAAGTTCAAGAGCTTGGTACACTACTTCGTATCAGACATATACACAGTGCCGAAAATGATGAACCGCGTATGTACGAAAAAAGCAGAGAAAATGACTTAAAATCGTTGCATATTATCGTTGTCATTTTGATACCGTATGTA